AAAAGAAAGCTTTTTTAAGAAAAATGGTTTCTATAAAATTATACAAAACTACGAAATTAACTACTATTTTTTTCTTAAAAAGTAGTAAATTATGACCATGTTATTATAAAAGTTATTTAAAAAAATAATTGTTACTAAATATAACTTTAATTTTCGTTTTTAAAATAGTAGTAAATCTACTACATTTTTATTAAAAAGCCTAAAATTTTACTTTTTTTGTAGTGAATATGAATTCTTATCATTTAGACATGAATTATATATTATTTTCTTCAACATTTTTTGCTAAACGTAGTAGAAAAATACTTCTTTTTTGCAAAAGGTAGTAATTTATAAAAAAATTGTTAATGCAATTTACTTAAAATGCACAAATTATATGAAAAACAAGTTTATTTCTGGATTTTGAAATAGTAGTAGATATACTACTTTTTTCAAAAAGTATGAAATTTCTGAAATTATGTTATATAATGTGATTTTTGGTAAATTGAACTTTTAAAAAATACAATTTTTCCATCAAATTATAAAAAAAGTACTAAATTAGCTACTACTTTTTAATGAAAAGTTGTAAACCATAAACATTTTATTTTAAAAGTTATTTAAAATGAATAATTGTTGCTGAAAATAACTTTAATTTTAATTTTTAAAATAGTAGTAAATCTACTACTTTTTGCTAAAAAGTCAAAAAATATTACATTTTTGTAGTGAATATGATTTCTTATCATTTAAATTTTAATTAAATGTTACTTTCTATTAAAGTATGTGTAAAACGTAGTAGAAAAATACTATTTTTTCACAAAAGGTAGTAATTTATATAAAATGTTTAATAAAATTTACTTAAAATGAACAAAGTATATGAAAAACATGTTTTTTTTTTAATTTTAAAATAGTAGTAGAAATACTACTTTTTGAAAAAACTATGGAATTTTTAAAATTTTGTTATGGAATATGATTTCTTAAAAGTTTAACTTTAAATAAAAGTTCTTTTGTTACACTTTTTTTTAAATATACAATAAATTAGTTACTACTTTTTTTGAAAAAAAGTAGTCAATTATAAAATTATATTAAATTTTTATTACTTTTGCTTTAATTTAAAAAGATATTACAGAACCATGTTAATTTGTTAATTTTAAAATAGTAGTAGAAATACTACTTTTTGAAAAAAAAGTGATATTTTTAAGGCTTTGCTATAGATTAGGATTTCTTCATATTTATATTCAATATCATATTTGTTCATTTTAAAATAGTAGTAAGCAGTAGCAGCTATTTGAGAGAATGAATTGTTACGTGGAAATATAAATGAATTTAAATTCGAAGAAAAAGTTTAGTAATTTAATGAAAAACATAAAAATTTAATACTTATTTCAAAAAGTAGTATAATTTTTATGTTTTTCATTAAATTACTAAACTTTTTCTTCAAATTTAAATTCATTTATATTTCCACGTAACAATTCATTCTCTCTAATAGCTGCTGTCCTTATCTCTTTAAAAACCTACATATGAAATCGTAAATTAAAAACTTTATTTCATTGATGATTGGTGCCTAAATTACTCAATGTTGTTTGCTGTTACTGCTGCTTGGCCATTGATAAACGATCGAGCCCAAAAAAACCCAAAATCAAAATGAAAAAAAAAAAAAAACAAAAAAATATTTTGCTGACGTAGACAAACACACGTTTAACAAAAAAAATAATTCTTGATTTTTAATAAAATTATAAAACGCAGAATATTAAAAGACAACTACAAAAAAGTTACAACTTGTGTAGAACGAACCTACTACCAATTAAGTTGAGTGAACGTTTAAACAACTTTATATATAAATTGATTATAGATAAAGAAATAAAAATTTAAAAAATTTTAAAAAATATTAAAGACAATTAACGACCTTGAACCAAAGGTCGTTGCAAGAACTTTTTTATTATATGTATATAAATAAAAAATTTAAATAAATCTTTAAAAATATAAGATATTTTATTAGAAAAAATTTTGTCTCAAACTGTACTTGTTTGGACAACAACATAAAAAATTATACATATACACACAAGAATGTTGTATTTATAACTAAATACCTCATCATGATCATCATCATCATAGACATGTGATAACGAGCCCCTTTATTTATTTATTTATTTATTTATGAAAAAAATAAATTTATTGCGTATTGAATTTATAATCAGTTTTAGTTAAAAGAACTGCACATGTATGACACATAAATTAATCAAAATTAAACGTTATTGTTAAGGCATAAAACTATTAATAGGGATTCTATGGAAAATAGTATTTTTTTTTATTAAAAACATTTAAAATCTAAGAAAACAGATTAAAAACTTATCAATTTCAAATAAAAATGATAAAAATTATGTACGTTTTACGAATAAAATTGTATTTTATTTTTGCAATTTTCTAATTTCCTTGAAAACTAACATCTTTAAATAAAATAACTTTCTTTGTTAGAAAAAAAACAACAACCTTGAAAATTAATATCTTTACTTGCTATTGTTACTTGTCCATAAAAACATATTTTCATATTCATCCTGTTTATATGTATATCCTGACCCCCAAAAGCCATAGTATTGTTACAATTTTGTTGTTGTTATTATTGTCTGTTTTTAATGTATGTATGTATGTATGTAATTTCTTATTTGTGTGTGTATCAACAAGAGAGGATATACAAGAGTTAATATTGTTCACTATTAATATGTGCTCCTTAAAGTATGCTTCAATTATGAACTTGTTTTTTCTTTACTTTTTTAACATTCCAAACTGTTATACGAACATGTGTGGCAAGGAATGAGATCATCAATAAAATAAAATATATTAATTTTTGTTGACTATAGCCTATAGACTAGACTATAGAATAGATTATAGATTAGGCTATAGACTAGACTAAAGAATATACTTTAGATTAGGCTATAGACTAGACTACATAATATACTATGGTCTGCTATGTGGACTATTTATCAAAACTTTATACATTAAAAAAGTACCGAAAATGTCGTGGGAGTACCGCGGTATTTTTCCATATCAAAGAATACTGAATAGAGTACTAAAGTACTGGATTTTATATGCCTGATTCCGGCGTTTCACTGTCCCCTGCGCATGCTCTACATTTATCTGAAATCGGTCGTTCTGCAGTGGTCGAAATGAATGATATGGTGTCATTAAATTCAAACTTCAAAAATGGTAAATATTTTAAATATATTCATGATTCATGCCCATTTTTGGTTAATTTAGGCGTAATACCCATAATTTTGAACCAGCTATTCTTATAATAACAAGACATTATGTTAAAAATAATAATTTAAGTTAATTTTGTTGGGCGTAACTTTAATATGAAAAAGTTACTTTTCAAGTGAAACGCCACACCCACTATATTTTCCGCCCATTTTTATTTCTATATAGAAGAAATAATCAAAAATACTGAATACCGTTGAAACAGTTTAAGATTTGAAAATAAGAGATAAACTGTTAAATAAAAATTATTTTAACAGTTTAAGATTTAAAAGTATAGTAACTATTTATATTTCTAGTAGGAAGTGCCACGCCCACTATTTTAATATCATTCATTTAATATAAATTTCGTAAAATGTAAATGAAATTACTTGTGTACAATTTTATTACACGATTTATTATAGAATTAAATATAGTATATATTAAAATCATTAATTTGAATCGAAGATGCCATGTCCACTATTCAGCTACCGCCTCTTTTTTTTATTGCTAATGAATTTATAATTAATTATTTAACTTTTGCAATGTTTTGATAAAGAGAGAGGTGAAACGCCCACTTTATGACTCATCCCATTTTAATTCAAAATACATATAGTTGTAATCGTATTATAATTATCAAGGTGTTCATGTTTTTTTTTTAATTATGAAAGTTGCTAAGAAAATTTCAAGCAGATGAGTATAGCTGCAAGCCCCCAGAAAAAGTAAATCATCAAAAAATTCTTAAAATATATTTCAGAACTTCTTTCAAAGTAGAAAATAATTGTATATACATAGCTTGGTATTTAATGGCACCAGATTGTATATTTTGATTAATGTGTCTCTGGCACTTTTTTTCGAAATTTGGTCCTCTTTAAGGAGTAAACGGGCAGAAGCAGTATTTTGGTACTTTTTGTATACATCTTTGAAACCACAGAATATAGAAATAAAATTAATGTCACATTTGTACCTTTTTGAAGAATTAAGTATATAATTTTGGTACTTTTTAAAAATTAGGGCTAAGGGGTAAATAGACTTCATTACGATATTATTATTTTTTTTTTTTTTTAATAAAATTTTTGTTGCTTCAGTAGGGATGAAAAAAAGTACCAAAAAGGGACATAAAAGCGAACATATAGACTGAATTTTTAAAAAAATGGTAGATTAAGGGCCAATATCTCAACCACCGGTTATCGTTTAACTGCTAGATATACTGCCGGTTGGGCGCCATTAAATTTATGTAACGGTTTAGCGATGTGCCCTATCCTTCAGGCCAAGAACTTTAAAGCTAAAACTTTTCGAAATTTTGAATTCTCTTGATTTTTATAGAAAACGTTACATTCATATGTAAGACCCGGGAAACGATTTTGTAAATGTATAATATTTTTATTATTTTCTTAAAAAAAAATTAAAAATATTGCATTTTCATAACTTTAAGAGAAATTTTCTATAAGAAAACTTTATAATTCTGAAGCTCAGAGTTACAAAATTAATTCAGTTTAAAACACCGAGTAAATTATCTATTTAAAATAGTAATACAATCACGATAAAAATCATTATTTAATTTTATCTACACAATTCTCTAAATTTTTCATCACCTACACCACTGTATTATTGCTAACTTGTAGCTTATATTACAATAACCTGTTGCATATCTTAGGGTGTTTCAAATTAAACTGTTTCTAATATAAACGGAAATGCAACTATATCTAACGCATATAACACTTTATTAAAGAATTGCTTTTAAGTTTTAAATAAAAAAATAAAATTTTAAAATAATAATAATAATAAATTCATACCTGGGCCATTTTGATTGTAATTATTTAATATACTTTTTTATAAAAAATATTAAACTTGGTAGAACGTTCTTTAATTGTCTTTAATAATTAGCAAACAAACAAAAAATTTGAGAGTTGCTGCTTTTTATTTACAAATTGCCGCGAAATATTACACTTTTGTTTATTTTATTTAAAATAAATTTTTGTTTCTTTTTTAAGAATATGCAAAATCAAATTGTTTCTGTTGATTTTGTTTTATTTTCTTTTTATTTTCAACTTTTTGTTTAATATTTTTTTGTTATATTTGTATAAACAAATAACGCAAAATAACACTGAGTAGAGTCTTAAGAAATACAATTTTATATTGATACTTCTTTGAAGGAGGAATTGTATGGAATGTTCAAATAACAGTTGAATCACTCATTTATATATCATTCAATCGTTAGTCGTACTTTCATCGGTCGACCGGCATTCAGTCATTTCTGGCCGTAGGAAACTCAGTAGAACAAAAACAGCAGGCTGTCAATTGTATCAACAAAAAAAACTAATAATGTTAAATGATAAAAGGAGAAGAGAATCAAAAAGCAACAATAATAAAATGAATTCAAACTAATTATTATATTGAGTTGTAGAGTATTGAGTTGTGTTGAATTGAGAAAAATGTTGCATTTTTCTCTAATACACTGTTAAACATGCGCAAAAGTTTTTATTACTACAAATTATCAATGAATTTTTTTCTTGTATTTTTGTTTTAATTTAAAGAAAACTAACTGCACATTGGTTTATTAAGGATTAAAGGAAAATTATTATAAAATTTAAATAAAAATTCACGCCTTTTAACAGTTTTTGTTTTAACAGTTTGACAATTATTATGGCTAAACTATGTTTTATATCTAAACGATATACTAAAGCTATATTTAAAATTCAAATTTTGTATAAATTAACAGGTTTAAATGCATACATCTTTTTTCATTGGCTTCTTCCTTTTTAAATGATTTTAGAAATCATGACAAATCTTTGTAATCTCAACATTATTATAACCGTATAAATGCATTAAGAATTACTTCTAACAGTTTACGTAGTCGTTTCATTGAATTCGCTTAAGAACTCCAACGATTTGACCCAAATACATTGAAAATTATCGAACAATTGACGTAAAATCACTGCAATCACAATTAATCATGTTCACTCACAACATTCGACAATAGGTGTTTACTAATACACAGAGAAATTCGACTTTTTAGAGGAAACTTTCAATAAACTACTTCATCAGACTAAAGACTAACTATACAGTAGTTTAGAATATAATTTATAGTTCATACTATAGAATAGTTTCTAATACAGACCATAGAGAACAGATAAGACTATAGAATAAACTATAGCATAGCCTATACTACAGACTGGACTATAATCTATATAATAGACTAAACTATAGTCCATATCATAATCTAAATTTTAGATTTTCGGGTATGCTTTAGACTTAACTAAATACCACACTTGATTATATTCCAGATTTTATTCCCGACTAAAGAAATAGACTTAAGGCTAAACTATTTTCCAGAATGTAGTATATAGTCCAGAATACAGATAAGACTATAGACCAGACGATGGACTAGACCATAGTTCAGAATATAGGACAGACTATAGTCCAAATTGTACACTATATAGTAGACTAAACTGTAATTTAGACTAAAGATTTAGACTATAGTCTAGAATATAGAATAGACTATAGACTAATCTATAATGTAGACTATAAACAAAACTATAGTTCAGACTACGGACTAAACTATAGTCTATATTATAGACTAGACTTAAGGCCAGATTGTAAACTAGACTACAGATTAAACTACCCTCCCACACTATAGTCCAGACTATAGCCCAACCTATAGACTAGATTATAGTTCAGACTATCGTCTAGTCTACAGTCTAGACACATTAATTAGACTATTATGCAGACTATAGAATAGACTATAATCCCGACTTTAGACCAGACTATAGACTAAACTATAGTCCAGACCATAGACTAAACTATAGATTAAACTATAGGCCAGACTATAGACTAAACTATACTCCAGACTAGACTGTAGTCCAGACTATAGACTAGACTGTATTCCAGACTATAGACTAGACTGTATTCCAGATTATAGAATATACTGTAATCCAGATTATAGACAAGACTGTAGTTCAGACTATAGTGCAGACTATAGACAAGTCTTTAGTCCAGATTGTAAATAATCGTATACTATAGTTCAGACTATAGACTATCGACTATACTACAGTCTAGATACATTGATTAGACTATAATCCAGATTACTGAGTAGACTGCAATCCCGACTATAGACTAGACTGAAGTCAAGACTATAGACTAAACTATAGGACTGTCTATATATTAAACTATAGGCCAAACTATATACTAAACTATAGGCTAGACTATAGACTAAACTATAGGCCAGGCTAGACTATAGACTACACTAGAGGTTAGACTAAAGACTAAACTATAGGCAAGACCAGACTAGACTATAGACCTGATTGTACACTAGATTATAATCCCGACTATAGACTTGACTGTAGTCCAGACTATAGACTAGACTGTAGTCCAGACTATAGACTAGACTGTAGTCCAGACTATAGACTAGACTGTAGTCCAGACTATAGACTAGGCTGTAGTCCAGACTATAGACTAGACTGTAGTCCAGACTATAGACTAGACTGTAGTACAGACTTTAGACCAAACTATAGACTAGACTATAGTCCAAACTATAGACTAGACTATAATCCAGATCATGAACTAGGCTATAGTGCAGACTATGAACTTAACTATAGTACAGACTGTGGATTAAACTATAGTCCAGACTACTGACTAAACTATAGTCCAGAATATCTGTAGACTATACTTTAGTCCTGATTGTAAACTAGATATTGTCCAGACTATAGATTAAACTACATTCCTAGACTATAGACTAGACTACAGTCTAGAAACATTGATTAGACTATAATCCATTATAGAGTAGACTATAATCCCGACTATAGACTAGACTATATGCCAGACTGTTGACTAAACTATAGACCAGACTATAGACTAAACTATTGGCTACACTATAGACTAGACAATAGTCCAGATTGTAGTCTAGACTATAGTCCAGATTTTACACTAAACTGTAGTCCTAACACAGACTAGATTACATATTTGGCTAATGTATACTAAACTATTCTCCAGCAAACTAAATATTCTAATTAAAAATTCTTCATAAATTTTAAATCCCGAAAGAAAATTATTTATTTTTTCTCCCTGTATATTCGTTTATTCAAACATCAATATTTAAATAAGTTGCATTTTAAGTTAATAGATCGCAAGTTGAATTTCAAATGCATTTATTGTATGTAAAATACAAAGGTTAGTAAAATTTTAAATTATATAGTGACGTACTTAGTTCAATGAGATTTAAGATAAAAACTTATATCCTTTCTAGAAGTTTTGCAAGAAAAAAGACCACGTGTTTTAAAGTCTCGTTTTTATATAAATAAAATAGGTTGTCAATTGAAATCAAAAACAAAAAGATTTCTTATATATATACACGTCCAATAATTTAGTAGGTAAAAGACCTAAATCACGTTCAAGATATGAAAATATGCCTATAAATTTTTTGTTAGTAAATTTATAATTTATTTTTATTTAACGATAAAAATTATGAGTAATTTACGATATCAAAACAAGAGATTAAAATATATTTTCTTAATATGAATGATAAACAAATTTGTTAAATGTTTTGATATAGTTTTTAATAAAATAGATAGGGTTTGCTAATTTTATAGAGATGTTCCATTACAAATTTAATTTATTTATAAAGAAAATATGGGCGAAATCAGTAAAATGGGCGTGGCACTTCCTATACAAAGTATCATAGTTTAGTGCATATCACTCTGTAAACATAAAACGTAGACAATGATCATTACATCATTATCATAATAGTGGGCGTGGCGCTTTCATGAATACTATGTAATCCGATTTTTTAATATCTTCAATAACCAGATGTAATGAAAATGTTATCATTTTCTTATTCCCCACCAAGAGTTCAGGCCCAATTACCTCCCATTATGATGTTTGTTGATGATAACAATTCAAAAGGATTTAATTACCAGCTAAATGAGGCCAATTAAACTCGAATGCTTTTGATATAAATAATTTAATAATAACAAAATTTGACAATTGTCAACAGAATGAATTGTTAGTGTCATAGCAACAACAATGTAATAACAGTAGATTTGATCACAACGATTATAATTATTACAATAAATATGACAGGCGTCATATGTATATTTATTTCATATATCCTGTTATGAATGTCTAACACATGATGATATTTGTTGTCTAATTATCACAGCATGTAACCACAAATTTTTTATGTTATTTACTAACTGTTTAACTGGAGAACTAAAATGATAATGGGTTACTGATGAGTAAATGTTGGGAGGGAAATGAGAAAAGATGTCAATTATATTTTATTTTGTTAAATCATCAATGACATTCTTCTAACCAGGGAGAGCTAAAGCTTAAAAAAAAGATTAGACAGGTTCGTTAAAAAGGATGCAGAGATATATGTAGACATTTCCAATGGATTTTAATGGACAATAGTCTAGTCTATAGTCTGGACTATAGGGTAGTCTTTAGTCTGGACTATAGTCTTGTCTACAGTCTGGACTATAGTTTTGTTATAGTCTGGACTATAATCCTGTCTATAGTCTTGTCTATAGTCTGGACTATAGACTTGTCTATAGTCTGGACAATAGTATTTTCTATAGTCTGGACTATAATCTTGTCTATAGTCTAGATTATAGTATTGTCTACAGTCTGGACTGTAGTTTGGTCTAAAGTCTTGTCTATAATCTGGACTATAGTCTTGTCTATAGTCTGGACTATAGTCTTGTCTATAGCCTGGACTATAGTCTAGTCTATAGTCTGGACTGTAGTCTTGTCTATAGTCTGGACTATAGTCTTGTTTATAGTCTGGACTATAGTCTTGTCTATAGTCTGGACTATAGTCTTGTCTATAGTCTGGACTATAGTCTTGTCTATAGTCTGGACTATAGTCTTGTCTATAGTCTTGACTATAGTTTGGGCTATAGACTTGTCTATAGTCTGGACTATAGTCTTGTCTATAGTCTGGACTATAGTTTTGTCTATAGTCTAGACTATAGTCTTGTCTATAGTCTGGACTATAGACTTGTCTATAGTCTGGACTATAGTCTTGTCTATAGTCTGGACTATAGTCTTCTCTATAGTACGGACTATAGTCTTGTCTATAGTTTGGGCTATAGACTTGTCTATAGTCTGGACTATAGTCTTGTCTATAGTCTGGACTATAGTCTTGTCTATAGTCTGGACTATAGTCTTGTCAAT